TCAGCCACACACACACACACACACACACACACACACACGGACAGGCAGAGGGAGAGGTGACTGGTGCAGACAGACAGGTGAGAATAAACCAGCCCAACAGACTGTCGGGGTGCTGCTTGTGGATGAATCACTCCTCTCGGCGCTGACTACTGCTGACTCAGACATCACATACCAGCATCTGGGCCGCATCTCTTGCACGAACACGAGAGGACTCGGATGCACCTCCATGGAGAGTTGGAGAGTCGTGCTCTCCTCACCTAATCCCGCCTGGTTTATTCAGTGTTTTTTGTTTCACTGGGCTCCACCGTCTCCACACGGGACTCTCCACCCGTGTCCGCCTGCCACGAGGCGCTGAGCGGCTGGCGTCCTGTGTTTCCCACTATGGCCGTAGAGAACGCTGTGGGAGTGGAGACTGGGCAAACAATGGGCTGACCCTCACTACATAAAGACAATAACATTAGCGGTAACCCTTTTTAATCTCTGTGAGATAAGGGGGAGAATAACACATTCCCTTCCGGTGGAAAAGCAAATTTGCTTTTTCAACTTTGGTGAACTTTGGCCGCCGATGTCAACGCTTAAACCAACTCATATGTGAGGATTCAGCATCACTCGCATGCTTTCACCGGCCAAATGATAAACAATATCCTGGTAGTAATGATCATCGCTACGCCTTTTGCATTGTTTTTGTTATTCCCAAAAGTGCTTTAAAGAGGCAAGTTATATCATCATTAGTTTACTAATTCTACTCGCAGCACTACTGCAGCTGTGTGTGAGTCATTTGTGTAAATAAAAGCATGAATTATCACGAGGGAACCTTGCTGAACACGACATCCTGTTCCAAAGAAACAGCACACGGCAGGCTGTAAAACCAGAGTTTTAATATTGAACACTTTTGCGACAAACTCCCGGCGTGTCACTTTCCTCCTCTGCTGTAACGCAATCGGACAAACGGAAGGAGAGCAATCCAACCTTCATCAACAAGGAGAGGGGGAGAGAGAGAGAGAGAGGAGGGGGAGAGAGATGGGGGAGATGCAGCGGGAGGCCGTCGAGGGCCTCGGAACGAAAAACAACTCACCTCCACCTGACCCGTTCCCCCCACATGTGCTCCTTTGAGCTTTTTGTGTTCCTTTCAACGCACATCCGTTTGTACTGTTCTACCCCGCGGGATGTGCTTTCTATGGCAATAAATCATCGTCACAAGCACAAACAATCGCATTGCTAGTCCGTAATTATTAACCTCCACCGTCAGCAGCGTGGTCTATTCTAAACGCTACGCCGACCTTGTGCCCCCTCCGTCACAGCAAGGACATATTGTACATGAAATCCCACTGCTCAAACAAAACAATCCTTCTGGAGCATTTCCTTGGTGTGCTGTCGGCGCTGGTAAGGAATTCTCGCTCAGTCCCGTTTTTTATCGGTGGGCAGGGATTTTCTTCAGGACGCTGACGCATTCGTCCAATCTGCAGGATGCGATGCGTTTCACTCAAGGCCGTGCTCTTCATTTCAAGGCCGCCAACCGATCTTGGTTGAGGGCAGTTCCAGATAGATGCAGACGCACAAACACACACAATCCCCATGGGGAGATAAAATGAAAACAAATAAGAATTTTGGAGAGAATTTCTCTGCAAGAGAAGTGTCCTGTGGGAACTTGTAATAACTGAAGTCAGAGTATTGACTGTATTGGCGGATACAACTTTCGTGTTTGGTGCCAGAAAGGAATTCTCTGTAAAGGAACTGTGGGTCAGTTACACATTAAACTGCCCACATGTGAAAGGACACATCGGCCCGTAGGTTTGGTCCGAGGGGTTCAGAGCGATGGCCAAACACAAATCATCCTTTCATAACTTACTTGTTCATTCTGTACACATCCGTTGTAGTCTGTCCATCCCCGGAGAGGGATCCTCCTCTGACATTCTCACTGAGGTTTATTCCCTTTTTTCCCCATGGAAGGATTTTTCATTATGGGGGATTTTCCTGAGCCGATGTAAGGGTTTCGGGAAGAAGGATGTCGCATGTGTACCGACTGTAAAGCCCTCTGAGGCAAATTTGTTATTTGCGATTTTAGGCTATGCAAAATAAAATAAAAAAATAAAATTAATTGAAAAATGAAATGAATAACAAGCTGTTGTAATAACAAGCAGTGGCAGTGAGTCACTGTGTGGGTGTCTGCGAGACTGACAACTATTTCAACATGTGACCAAACACACTTTATGCTCTATAATTTCACCATTTCTTTGCTGTAATGTCACGACATGCCAGTTCGCATAGTTCCGATCACACATGTTTAATACAAAATGAAAAGGCCTGGCCAGCTGTTTGTTCTTTTTCAGGGATGTTGTGTTGATTTTAGAGTCCAACTGTATTATTATTGACCATGAAGTTACAGATGAGACACAGACGAGACATGGTAACACACGGCAGAGGACCGTAGTGTGGGACTAAAAGAGATCAGCGCTGAATATTGGCTTCAGGTTTAAAGCAACGAGTTCCTGGTTTGAAGAGCAGGCATCACGACTTTGGTCATCTGCTCAGTATCCGAGCCAAACAAACAGAGCTGAGGGAACTTGGCTCAAAGATGGAATTCTTGTCGCCTGCCAAACACAATTTACTGTGATTCTGATCCAATTATGTTTCATAAACATTATTCTTGGCAAGTGCAACATTTGGATAATGTGCAGCCATTAAGAGGACCCAGTTATGACAGGAAACGCTTGACAAAAGCAAGTCTGCATCCATCGGATTGCTTTTTTAATTGAACTGAAAATACAGCAGAGCTTTTCTTAGTCAGATATTGTTTGTTAACTCTTTGCTACAACACGGTATCAATCACAGAATAAATTAAGGGAACGGCTTGTTTAAAATGGGATTTGGAGCCTTCAGTCTTAAATGGGAAAATACAAAAATAACCTAATTATATTCATCACGGTCTCGTCGTGGACCGTCACCGTGTTCCATAAACCGTTCACTGGTCATGCATGCTGGGAAAAGGCCCGCGGGCCCCTCGTACCAAGCCGTATGCAGGGAAATGGAAAAGTGACATGCTGGCACGGTTTAGTTCCATTCAACACCACAAATCCAAGGTCACACCCAAGTGAGCAGCGCCGCGGCCCTCGGGTACATGCTGAGGTACAAGTCCGAAGGATTCACTGAAACTACACCTGAGAGCTGCGAGATCATGTGACTTCACGCCGCGTTCTGCATTGAATACATCATTTCCCATCTCTCTCTCTCTCCTGTAAACGCAGTAGCTGCTGATGCTGCAGAAATGCTAATCAGCACCATAAACCCGTGACATTCATTGACACACAACTGGCCTGTTGCCGTCACGCAGGGTTGTTTTAACAACAACATGGCCCTCCGGTTGAGTGGTCACATGGAACCGATGACTTCCTCCGCAGAAGCTTCGAGCACTTGGGAGCTAACGTGGTTGACCAGTTAGCGCCGGCCTGGAAGTATGCAGAGGAAGGGAACTGCGTGACTTTGAACGTGGCCTGGTACCCCGCTGGGTGCAGGTTCAGGGTTTGTTATACCAAAGAAAAGACCCGACCCGAGCTGCTAGGATTCACGTCGAAATACTCACTGAGGGAGCTTCGCTGGTCCTGTTCGCAGAGGACTCGCTGTTTTCCTCTGTGATCTCTGGTTCCTCCAGCAGTCCATTTCAAAATAAAAACTCCTAGTTCGGACCTCGATGGTATTTAATAGGCGCAAGTATTCAGCAGCAATGTGAAGGGATAACTCGTGGGTCTGAGGAGGCAGATGTAGACACTTGATGGCCAGCGGCGTGTATCTCAGGCCTCCTGGGTCTCCTGATGCGACAAGATTATTCTTCATACTCAGCTGATGTTTTTGGTGTCCTTAACTTCACGGATGAGCAGCAGAGAAGAAATGACAAAAACAACTAAAGTGCACAAAGACACTGATCAGTGTTTAGTTGAACTGTCTCATATTGGCAGGATGTCAACACAGGAAATGGAGGCTTCTGCCAAAAGCTATTTGTGAGTTCATGTGACCTTTGACAGCGGCGGCCTAATGTTTTTACGTTCACACCCCAAATCGACGTGGCAACGGGCACTCAGAAGTTCTGGTCCTGTTCCATCTGAAATCCTATTCTAGTATCTAGTTCCGTGAGAACGCCGACATCTAGGACTTGTGCAACACTGAGCGGCAACTCTGCAACCATGTAGCTGGCCGCGGCTACGCTGTTCGTGACCTGAATTGCAACGGGAATAAAATGAAAAAGCACATTGGTCATAATGTTTTTGCTTGTTAGCGTGGCAGAAGAAAACTATTGACATGTTAGACGAGGGCCGGTGACCCTTCAGCGCAAAGTGCATCAGCCATAACACATGCGCAGCATCCACCGCTGTTTACAAAAAGCACGTCAACAGCATAACGCCGCAAAGTAGAGAGCGACCTTCCAGACATAAGTGGATTCAGACGTAGTCACAGCGTGTCTTAAATGGATCAACCGTGAAACGGAACAATGCAGCCGAGTGCATTTTAGAAACCACCCGCTCAGACGGATGCAGGTCGGTGACCTTTGTGACTCAACGACGTAAGACGTGATTTCAGTTTATATATTCTTTTCAGTCCAAATGTATTTCTAAACGCACAAATAATTGTATTGTGTGGTCAAAGTACTGCGTCGAAGTTTTGTTTGATCATTAACTCGTCTGATGCAGTATAAGAAAATATATTAATAAGAAATAGGACCGAGTGAATTGTAAACCGATCCGATTGACCACTGCTAACACACATGTGGTGAAGAGCGTCCTAAAACAGACAGTAGGGTTGTGTACTGTCCATTATTTTTAGGTAACAAGTCATTTTAGTGTATTTGCAATGGGAAAATTGCAGGATTTTGAAAATAAATGAACACAATATGGTTAACTGGTAATAGTTTGACTGGCTGGCCTTCAAAATAAGACGTGTCAATATAAATCATAACTCTTTTAAAATATATAATATAGGACACATTTTCCAATGACTAACACAAGGGATGGTTTTGGCAACATTCATATATGTATGAGTGAGGTTTTATTTTTCAGCATCGGACATTGTTGGGGGAAAAAAGCACCATACCGGTTCTCTGCGCCCTCAGAGAAACCGTTGTACATGTATAATTGCAAAAATGACTACTCAGTGACCCATGTTGCATCGCCGTATTCTCCCCGAATACCATGAAATGCGAGTGCTAGCGAGGCCAGGTGACTTTCTTGCAGTATATCTACGTATTGCATACTCAACTGAATGTGTCTGATTTTGAAAAGAAATGTCCACAGTCAAAAGACAGAGTATGCAGGTCCAATGTGCCTTCAGACTTACCACGTGTCCGTTTGGAATTCAATGTTTTGTTGTCCCAGTTTCCTCAGTGAGTGGCGCCTCACTTCACACTTAGTCTCTGAGTGCCCCCTTGTGGTCAAACAAGTGCACGTCTTCTCCCAACAGTGTGTAAAACTTCCAACCTGTATGTTATTGTGAATGCGGCTGATCACATATGTTTACCAAACTCCTTTTCAGAAACAAATTCTCCAAGTTAGCTTATTTCCTCAGAGCCTCGAGACCCCCGCCGGTGGGGTGATGATCGGGTGAAAAGTGGCCGGCCTCTCTCGTCAATCAGGAATCAGAGGGGCCACCTCACTGCCTCTTGCTGTCCAGGACGGCCCTCCAGTCGTCCGCCCATGACAGGAGCCGCCTCTGGGCGGGGCTGACGGCGAGGTGCTTGTTGTGGCAGGCGGTGAACAGGATGTGCTCCCATGACGGTTCCGGCTCCACGCCTGATCGGGGGCACACGTGAAGCACAAACAATCACATCCCTAGCAAACCGCGCGTGCTCCTGTGCGTGAGGTGTCCACACGCTTTAGACGGCCGCGGCAGATCCCGACTAACGGCGCTGCGGCAGCTGTCTTCGAAAGGTGTGAAAGAGGCACCGAAGAAGACGCATGCAAATAATAACAACACCCACGTGACACTACGGGGACGGGGTGATGCAAGCCGCGCGCATTCGGGTTTCTTCTCCTTCCTTCTTTCTTTATTCCTTTTTAAATGTTCGACACAGTTTCATACTTTAAATCTGCTGTTGTTGCCGATTGTCTTTCTGTATGTACATACATGTACAATATATACACTGAAATGATTGTACAGCTGGCCTTGGGACCAGGTTTCTACCAGGGCTCTGAAGGGGAGCTCAAAGCGAGAGTCCGATTCCTCAGAGCGGACGGACTTGACGGTAAAAGCGTCACAATTGGAGGACATTAGTCCCACGCAAAAGACATGTGTAACCAAGCGGGGCCTACGTACGATAGTACGTACGTACGTACTGTAGGGCCGGAGCTTAGCAAATGTTCAGCTATTGAAATGGGAGTTGCATTGTCGTCACTACCATCTGGGGTAATATAATTGTTACACAGAATTCGTATGTATGTTCATTTGGATCGTGTTGGAGTTTTTCGGGTTGTGACGGGCCGAACACAAACAGTCCTCACCTAAAATGTCAGGCTTGTCGTCTATGAGGAGGTCTCCGGTGATCACCGTCTTGTCTCTGGTCAGGATGACCTGCTCCAGAAAGTCATGACCCAAATGCTTCTCCACCCATGCATACTGCAAACACGCACGCACGCACGCACACGCACACGCACACACACACACACACACACACACACACACACACACACAACAAATGAGATCTAATTGGAAAAAGGACACAGCTGTAATTCCCAAAGGGAGCAGAATCCATGTGGATTGGCAGAGGGCCTACCTTCTCATATGGGCAGTGTTCGTAATGTTTTATTGGGCTGGTGCAAAGAAAGACATCTGTCCTGCAGAGAGAAAGGGACAACATAGCTACATTTTTCCGATAATTATACCATCTAAATGATGACAGATGGAGGCAATAGCTAGTTTGGAGACAGTCGGTGGGACACCTCCCTGGAAGGAAAACAAGAGGGGTGAAGAACAAGAGATCAGATTTCACTGATAAGAAAACGCACTCACTCAGACACGGGCGGTAAAACAGAGCCATTCATTTCCACCAGGGGAGGAAATGTAAACACACAGTTTCATAACTATGAGGGCTATTTTGGGAGGTTCTTCCATTGTGTTGAGTGCTTCTGAGAATGCTACGCGGAGACTCCCCCCACGCCGACTCAAGTGAATCCAAGAAGTCGTGGGTCAAGATGAAAAGGAGACAATGTTTGTCCAAATCAGAGATGAGGTTCAAGTGGCACCGCAATACAGTCGACTGCGAATGTTAAATGCCAGGAGGTGAAATACTCTAATGAAGAGTCTCATATTTGTTCCAAAGTCAAGATCGTAAAGCCGTGTTTCTTACTCACTAGTTTCTCTGCAATTATTCATTACCTTGTTACTCCGTACGTATTCAAATTCAGAGCTGTTCCCAGATTGCTATTTTCCTGTTTTCCTCCCCTCAAACTGCTTGTGAATTTATGCAGTTTAAGGCACAAACTCCTCACGTTGATCGCCCCCCCACCGTGAGCTCGCACACGCGTGTCATCGCCATCGTCGAGTTGCTGAGACAACGACGTCGCACGTTACCGTTACGTCAAGCAGCCACCAGACCTGTGGCCACGTCACGTGAGGGAACGTGCATCTCCACAACCTACTCGTCCATCTTGGCCATCTCCTTGAGCGCCTCCACCCCTCCTGGCAGCGGCTCCAGCTCTATGAAGAAGTCCTTGGACTGCCAGATGCTGATGGCCTTCTCCTGGAGTAACAGAAGAAGAAAAGCAGTGTGTAGCGTATTGATGAGGTGTATGCATGTATGACACCGCAGTAACTGGGAAAGACATTTGTGTGGCATTTCTTCGCGTGTGTTCGAGTTCAACACGGACCTTGTACGCCGGCCGCGGTTTACGATGACACTGCTATTTTATCTGAAGGATATGTCACCAGTCAGAAATACGTCCCCTCAGATATTGACTGAAATTCATGAACTAAATATATATATATATACAAAAGTGGTTGGAATACACTGTGCAGGTGCACTGAATTGGTGCATATGTTGGGTTATCAATATCAACCTTCAACTGCAACCTCCACAGAGTGAGAGCCGCTGTCAATCATTCACAGTGTGTACATGTCGTTTATTAATTAACTAACTATCTGACAGGGAACCCTGGGGACCCAGCCGGGGGGGGGGGGGGGGGTCTGGCCCGCATGTGGGGGTCCCATTATCCATAAGAACACGATATGAGACACGCGTACAACACGTCACTTACACACAGGTCGCTCCTCAGCTGGCCGTACTGCGTGGACACCCAGAACCCTCTCCTGTCCTCCAGGGGGATGTGGGGGTCGTCCGGGTACCGGGCCCGGTACTTCTTCAAGAACCCCCCCTCGAAGTCCGCCAGCACCCCGTCCATGTCCACCAGAACCCGCAGTCTCTTACCCGAGCGAGAGGAGGAGGAGGAGGACGACGACGACGACGACGACGACATGTTTACGCAAATCCTCTTAAAAGGATCACGCAGCGGAGTTTTCCCTCTTCCGAGCAGGCGTGAAGCGGCGAACAGGGAAATCATGGCCGCCTCTCGAGTGAGCGGTCGCCGCTGTCCTCGCCGCTAAGCCCTCTCCCAACGACGACGAACGCGGTGGCCAGAGTCCGCATGGGAAAGCTCGGAAGCTGTCCGAATACCGCGGCGGGTGTTTTTTCACACACTTTGCATTCGCCGTGTGTGGTTATTTGCGTCGTTTCGGGAAATGTTTCGCTAACTTGTCGGCTTAACTTTATTCATTCAGTCAGCCGTTGATGCTAACAGCCGCTAGCTAGCGTTAGCCGCACAGCAGCAGACAGTCAGCGGCGACGTGCCTTTGGACAGTGTAATGTGAGCTGTTTTGTCAGTGTGTATTTACTGCCCGGGCGAAATCAACACCGCGCTCAATCCCACCACGGCCCCGGTGGCGCCCGGCTGCTGGAGCTACCTGAGCGAAACACGGGAAACGTTAGTACACGATTAGTACTGCGCCACCGAGAGAGGCCGAGCGGCGAGGACGAACTGTACTACCAGCAAAGATCTTTGTAAGAGATGGATGGCTCACTCCGTTATTTTGTATGAAAACCACTTTTGGCACAATTTGCAGTGTAGATTGCTAATTTAGAAATAATAAAGAAAGAAAACGTCCTCCCAAAACCGTTATTGTTATTATTATAGTTGTAGGATATTTATGCCTGTATGTGACCAAAAAGAAAGCTGTCCACGATATGTACAATTGTATACATTTGAGCTGTTTTTTCTTTCTTTTGTTTGCTCACCATCAGAGAGATGTCCATTTGTTCCAGACATTTCATTTGCCACAGAATCACACTTGGCGTGATTTTTTTTAATGGAAGATTTGCTAATGGTAGATATAGTGGTACAGCAAAACCAACAATACCATATCTACTAAGCCTGCAACAAGTATCTTCAAAAATAATCAAATTCATATTAGGTTTATAAAAGGTGATGAACCCAATACACAGCCATATTGAAAGGCTTAATAAATAGTTAAGGCGTGAGGGCCACCAATGAATAAGGGTGCTGGTATTATCTACTACATTTACATTACCTGTCAGAACATCTCTTCTGAATTGTAACGACAGTCAGATAATAATTAAGAACTTTTAAAATTGTTATTCTCTATTGTGTCTTAATGCTCTAAACAAGCTCTTGGGTATGAGCACGGAACAATATCAACAATTTGGAGACGGATGCGTGGATGAATACTCAAACTGAAATTTAGACAATCACAAAATTACTTGCAATAGTTGTATTTTTCAAGTACACGAAGCTTGGTAATCCAGTTCTATTAGATGATGCTTAAAAGTCTGTTAGGCGGGAGCTCTTACAGCTTATAACATCTTTGCTAAAACACGGTAAATTGTACGTCAGTTCCTGTATTTTCCTTTTCCTTCAACGAGGAACTGTATTCAGAACTAGACAACTGCAGCACGTTGATGTCTACCTGTGACAAGAACTATGGGTTAAAAAGTCCTTAAAATAAAATTATATTAATATAGAACATGGTATTCAACACCAATATTTTGCTCCAATCGTGTGTCTGTCCCTTTAAGAATCCAATGGTCGGTCCGTAAATCTCGTTGCAGTCTGTTCAGTTATTATGATCTCGCGATAGCTTTACTTCAGTGGCGGCTGTGTGGCCCCCTGTCTCAGTCCGGACGGAGTTGTTTCTGACGTTTGAATGAAAAACAGTGCATATTACCTCCACTTTGGACCCAAGAAATAATGGCTTCAGCCTTGGAGCAGTTTGTGAACAATGTGCGGCAGCTCTCCGCTCAAGGTAGGGTTGCTAAACTCATTCATGTAGGAAGTGTTAGCTAGTTAGCCAGCATATGCTATCCAATGCCTTGCCGAGAGCTAGGCTGCAAACTGGTCAGAGCCCTTTTTTTGCTTTATCATGTAAACACGCCGCAAAAATGACTTTCTCTGGCAGCGAGAGTTCTGTAAAGTACCACAAAAAGATGCGTTATTACACAGGGATCTCTATGATAACCGCGAACCTGGCGGTTAATCCAACAAAATGTAGAAATCATACTTTTTGTTTTTGATCTAGAAAATAATTTACCAGGACTGCCTGCCGGTAGTCCCGCCCTAGCCCAACATGATTGGCTGGTTAACGGATTTGGCGAAAATCATTGGTTTATACATCAGTCAATCTCACTTAAATTACTTCTTGCGAGGCCTTGACAGGACACTTGACCGGCCTATTTATATTGAAATACTACGCCACGGAATGATGATTGTAGCTTATATCATGTCAATTAGGTTTTTACGTTTCTGAGGAATAGCCCCTTGATATTTGTACACTAGAAATGTGCCGTTTTATCATTCATTTGCCAACTAAAACAATGTCGAAAATGCCGTAGCATACCTGCGAGATGTATTGCTGTCTTCTCCTCTGCGGATTTTAAGTTAACTTCGTCATTTACAAGGGGCAATAATAACAATAATTCTCAGTACAGTTACATCTTTTTTAATAGATTGCTCTTTTGTTCCGCTACATGTGATAGAACATTTGACATTTCAAGTTAAAATTGGATCTGCATCTGGCATGGCAAAGTAAACCGTTGTAGATATGAGATATGCGTCCTTCTAAAGATCACAAGGGAAGAAGAGCGTCAAAAGTGATTTCTAATTCCTTTCTATTCTCCCGACCCTTCACCCGCAGGCCAGATGACTCAGCTGTGCGAGTTGATCAACAAGAGTGGGGAGCTGCTGGCCAAAAACCTGTCCCACCTGGACACAGTGCTGGGGGCCCTGGACATCCAGGAGCACTCCCTCGGCGTGCTGGCTGTGCTGTAAGTAGCCTGCTGCGTCCTCCCTCGTTCCAGGAGTACTGCTTCTATCACCATTCAAGAACTCTCCCTTAGCGTCTAGTGAAGTTCTGTTTTTTTGTCCTTGTTTGACCTTTGAGGTCAGTACTGTCCAATCACGGATTTCTCTACTGTCCCGCCTTCAAGACGCTGCTCGTTTCTGATCAATATATTGCTGATTTTGGACAAGCGATTCTGTCAATATGATATTTTATTTTTGTGAGGATAGAGGAGGTTAAGCCTCAGAGAAAGATAATTACCGAGGAGATAGTAGTGCCTGTGTTTAGGTCAAAAACGTAATTGACAAGTTGGTTAAAATTACATGAAGTGTTTGTATCTCAAATGAAGGCTGTAATTTTTTTTCTTATTAGATTTTTTTATTTTTATAGCGAGTAGTATTGTAAATGTGACGGGAAACACAACGCAGCTAAACGTTACCTGGTGCCTGTACCAACAATAATGTCAGCCAGAATTAGTATTGGTTTTCTATTAATCAAGAAATGCCAATGCTGTATCGGATAATAGTTTACTCATTCTTTAACAGTTTGCTATAACAAAACAATGTCATGAATTTCACATCACAAACATCAAACCTGGATCGAAGTATCCATGGTTCTCTGAAAGGTTTTTGCTCACCTCCTTCTCTGTCCTTACAGATTTGTGAAGTTCTCCATGCCAAACATCCCTGACTTTGAGACGCTCTTCTCCCAAGTCCAGCTCTTCATCAGTACTTGCAATGGGGAGCACATTAGATATGCAACAGACACTTGTAAGTCCAGGCTCACCAAACCTCTCACCGCTAGACGTTTAGGAGGCATGTTTTGTATCGGTACCGGTGATTGTTGTTATTCTGCAAACGTGCTCGGTTACGCCTACTCATACACATACTTTACTCAGTTGGTAATCAGATATGGGCTTCGTCAAGATTTTTATTAGATGAAGGACATGATGTGATCTGGACTGTAGATTGTAATGGTCAGGTGTATTTGTGTCTTCCTATCAGATGCAGTGCTATAAAAAAAGCTACGGCACACTTTTTATTTTTTTTTATTTGAGAAAAATGTGTGAATGAATGTTTTTTTTTTTTTCCAGGATCATGTTTGTGATGCATATATTGTAATGGGGTGTAGATGCATCTTGGACACATCTGGGCGAGCGGTGCTTTAGCCTTAACTAACCACCTAAAGAAGGAATCAATAACTAGAGGCCTTCCCTCCCGTCTGTTTCCCCTCACAGTTGCTGGTCTCTGCCACCAGCTGACAAACGCCCTTGTGGAGCGGAAACAGGTAAGACTGTTGATTCTGACTTTGGGGGGGTACCCAAATAGTTTTCTTGAGTCTTAACTCAAGACTGTCTCCACCGAAAATGAATCAGTGCTCACTGTTGTTGTTTTGATTGTTGACGAGCTGCAGTGCTGCGGTTGCTAATGAACTCTTGAGTAGTTTAGATATCATTGGAGAATACCAAAAACAAATGCAGTGCATATATTTAGTAGCTCTGTCTATTTGTTCTATAAAAGAAAATGTGCATCGTTGAACACAGTGTGTATGACAGAGTGCTGTTTTCATGTCGTAGACACACTACCAGCTCCAAAAGCAAAAGGATGACTGTCTCTTTAATAGTTGATCTCTTCTCTTTAATGTTCGCACTTAAGCCCTACTTCCCTTACAGAATGTACTGTGTGCTGACGTGACTTAAAGGACTTCCTCAACAATGGTTGCACATCTTCAGACACTCCCAATGCTGCCTCAGCCCCACTGCACTTCAGCAGTAGAATCATGTCACCCTTGTCTTGGTTGTCTAATCGCGACGACAGGAATACACATCTACCTCCCCCTCCTCCACCTGAATCTGTGTTAGTGGTGGTCCCTGGTGTGTTTAGTAATGTTTCAGACTCAGCCACCAAGAGTTCCAAATGTCGCTTGCACGCCTGCTGAGTCTCCGCATGTAGGATGCAGAATGTTTTCATCTCTTCTGCCTTGATCTAAATATTTCAGTGTACTTTAAAGTGCGTTCACAGTCCCAAACCGCCTCAGGAAAAGTACCCATGAAAAAGTAACAAAGCTTATTTTCTTCCTTCTCTGACAGCCATTGAGGGGCGTTGTCGTCCTAAAACAGGCAATAGACAAAATGCAGATGAACACAAACCAACTTACCTCAGTTCATGCAGACCTGTGTCAGGTGAGTTCCCACAGCATCAACCACCTGAACATGCACCCCGACTCTAGCTACTCCGCTTGATGCATCTATTTTAGGTGGCGTCAAAGTCACGCCAGTCCTTTCCAATGGTTTTTATCTCGTACTTGCTTTAAAATGCCTTTTTAAAGGGTCCCATTACATAATGAATTGTAATAAAACAGCCTTAGTTGCAGCGCTGGTTCTTTCCAGTGTAACCCTCTATGTTGTCTTCACTATTGTCTTCCTGTCTCCTTGCAGCTGTGCTTGTTAGCGAAGTGCTTCAAACCCGCCCTGCCCTTCTTGGAACTGGACATGATGGACATCTGCAAGGAGAACGGGGCTTACGACGCAAAGCACTTTTTATGTTACTACTACTATGGTGGCATGATCTACACGGGCCTGAAAAACTTTGAAAGAGCACTGTATTTTTATGAACAGGTACTCTCGCACTTCCCAAATACGCACTTAACTAAATGGTTAAGTGCGTATTTGGGAAATGTGCTGCCATTCGTTTTCAACATAGAACACTTCAAATATGACCATGAGTTCTTCTTGTGCACCTGAATGCGCAATAGATTATCTTTTTCTGTGATAGATGTATACATAGTTACATGATTGTGCGTCTC